ACTAGGCGTTCAGCGGCTGCTCACGAGCGGACCCCAGGGCGCAACGGGACGAATGATTTCTGCAGCGGATCGGTGAACGCTTATCTATCATTGCGTACATTCCCGATGGAAACCAGCAAGACAAAAAGCCCGTGTCGTAGGGCTTGGCGCGATAGACTTCGAGCCAACCAAGTCGCGGGTTTGAGCATCCGGGGCGGCTACCCCACGGTTTGGTCACGTGGACAGAACCTGGCCCAGCAACAATTCTGTCGACAGCGGACAGAATTGTCGCGCAATTATCAAGTCCGCATCCGACACGGGCAACGAAATCGTGGCAACTCACAAGCGAACTGCCAAGCCATCACCACACCAATTACGACTCCAAGCGGTGGAGCTGATAATAATAATACTACTAATCTAGGCAGATGGCGGTGCAGTCAATGGTTAGAGCGTAAGACTTCTGAACAAAATGTCGCGGGTTCGAGCATCCGGGGGCGGCTACCCCCACTGTTTGGTATAGCTGACTGATGACGGTTAATGTGCCAGAAATGACCATTCCAGTTTCCCTGATCCTTGTCAATAATGCATTTCTGCACATGATATACTAGCTGCTGGGTGGCCACTGGCGGTGCTCAAGAGCCCATAATAGAGCCCTCATAGGCAGTTGCATAGCGACTCATGTTATGCATGTTGATAAGGTGGAATCGACAAAAACAAGGGAGACCTGAATGGCCACTGCTGGTTTATTAGCCGTCATCATCCTTAATTCCAGGTGGTGTACAATCCGAGGGTATCGCCATTCTTTTGTAGGTCTTTACACCCTGTCTTTAAGTGGGTCTTTTGCCAAGCACAATTTAGGAAGCCAATAGAGCAGTCTGCGTCCATTCCTGTTTAAATAAGGCTGAAGCGACAGAAGATGACAGGTGGCGAGGCACTGATGAACTTCGTTTCGATGAAGGGCTTATGACTGATCTGCTAGACGCGGTTTGTGGACTATCTGAATGCCGTACTCAAGCACATGTTTGCACTCATGGTCCAAGATAGAGGGCAGCGTTGTGATTGGCTGAAGGAAGGCAAAATAGATCAGGAACAGACTTTATCGATCCATCTGCATTTTCTGTCGTCCCTCCTCTCTACAATTTATCTACCGGATCACAATCGACAGGACAACTGGCCGGTGCGGAACACAATGACCAAAAGTCTCGGAATCAATGCACGAAGCGAATTACTTGACCAACTGAAGCCTTTCCATACTCTCCGTTTATTCTTGCTATTAAATGGCGCCATCTACTGTCTAGGATCGCAGGTCCTCCAAGGAATTGGGGTTCTCTCGGCGACGAAATTTTCAAGAGTAATGATAAACAAGTAATTGCACACGCACTGAAGCAAGATGCTTCATAGTACGGTTGAGCTATCATAAAAACTGTGTTCTTTAGATTTATGTTAAACTGGTAAAACTCACCTTTCTTAAACCGTCATCGACGTACGTCATGGAGGCTTTTTGTTGGTCCAAGTCCTCCAGTTCCGCATTGAGAACCTGCAAAGTGGATCAAGAGTCATGTAGTTTGGATAAGTTGGTTAAACCTGGCGAGGTGTGTCATGTAACAAAAGGACATTTCAGAGTCGGCCATGAGAAAGAGTGCGAAAAGCGAGAACAGAACTTTGTATCCTCCCACCCACCCACTCGTCTTAGGTTTAATTAATTCCCTTTTCTTCCTATCATCTTATGTACCAACTCTTATTAGGCCTGCTAGACCGTGCTCAGAGGCTGCCACAATATAGACCTTTGGGGAACGCGCACTATACGTCTAGTTGATCTCGTTCAGACCTAACACTAGGCTTTACCTCGTTTGGCGTTTCAACCTGATTAATCTCGTATGAGCATCTTTGAGTCAAAGAATTAGGCTAAAACTGTTCCCCCGGCCTGCCTACAAATGATCTGCTGTTTCGTAACCCACCTAATAGCTTCTGCGTTCGGATAGAACTTTTTTGCAAAACAACCAAACTACCCCAGTCTTCTGTTTGTTTCCGAAGGACTCTCACCTCTGTTTTGTGCCGTTGCTCAGAGAGACCACCTCTGATATCCTCTAGCCCCGACCTTAGATTCCCGATTCGTTCACGGAGACCGTTGGTGAGTGTCTCCAGTTGTTTCAGCCTATCCTCAATCTACAATGAAGAGAAAGAGAGAAGATTTAAAATTCGAAACACAACGAGCATAGACAGACAGACAAACAGACAACTAAAGCAACCAAAGAATCGGATTAAGCTTTCACTGACAGCAATTATAGAAAGCGATTTTGCCAACACACACAACTTCTATGCTCAGAGTCCGGGAGTAGCGTATGCGGCAAATATAACCATCCTTCCCAGCCCCCAGGACATGGGACTGAGGATAGGCATGTCTCTGGTGTGTCTCTGCCAAAGCTTGTGCAACTCCTTAAAGCACTTCAGTAAAACCCTCAGAACAGACAAGATGCTGCCGACAGTAAGGCAGAAAAAGCAGCGGAGGGGGGGAGGGGTGGTTTGGAACTGCAGATACATGGGACAGCCGGTCGTGCCAACGCTTCCCACAGTCCGACATCCGCATCCTTCCGGTGCCTCGCTCAGGTGCCGATGGTTCTCTGTGGGGTAGCGGCCCAAGTGAATGTAGCGTTTCGGTGGTTTGCGGAGTTTCGCTCGAGAGGTTGGCGGACTCAGCAGTTGGCCGAGGCTGCTGCAATAGGTTAGTGGGGGACGCCT